GAAGTCAAGCCAGTTTAGTCGTCATTTCACCAGAGCAGTGCTAAGTATCACTTTTAGGAAATTGTTTCTTTTTGTGCAAAACATGTTCTTTGCTATTAAGACAAAAATTTTACTCTAGGGGTTTTTTCCCCTCACCTCCAAAAATAATGTAAAATCTTTTTTAAGTTGGTGAGTGTCCTCTCAGACCTTTTAGGTGCTCTTCAAGTGTTCCTTGGTTCCTTGCCTGAAGTCAGCTGCTTATGTTCTGTGCCTTTTCTTATTCTTTATTCCTAAATTGGTGTTTTTTAACTTAAAAGATGAAAATGTTTCCTGTGTCCTCACGGCCTTCAGTTTCCTACTCAGAGCAACTAAGACCTCTGCTGCTGGCACATCCCATGGGAACCGTCTTGTTGACAAGCCCTCCAGATTTGCTGGTGGACTATTTTGGCTCACTGGTGTCTGAATTTCAGTTGTTATTGAAAGAACTAAAGCCACTTTGGTGTAGAGCTTAAGCCACTTTGGTGTCTTGTGTCGTCCCAAAAAGGATTTGATCAGCGGTGCTCTCATGGGCTTTTGAGCATAAACTCTGTCATTCAAGTTCTTTGACTTATGTGTATGTTGGTTGTCTATTGCTACATATCAAGATACACGAGCATTTAACAGATTAAAACAAGAGTAAATATCCTTTCTGTGAGTCAGAATTCAGAAGCAACCTAGCTGGATAGTTCTAGGTCAGGATCCTCTTATGAAGTAGTAGTCAAAAGTCAGCCAGGTCTGCAGAAACATCTGAAGGCTTGTGTGAGGCTGGAAAATACACTTGTAGGATGGTCCGTTCATGTGGTTGGTGAGTCTTTGAGAGCTGTTCTCAGGAGGCCTCAGTCCTTCACCATGTATACCTCTCCATAGTGCTCCAGGAGTGTCTCACATTATGGCAGCTGGCTTCTCCAAGTGTTCAGGAGGAGGAGGGAGAAGCCACAGTGGGTTTTATGTCCTAATCTTGGAAGTTACACATTATTTCTGCAGTGTTCTATTGACAGGCCAATGTTACTCACTGAGGGAAGGGGCTACATTAGGGCACCAAGAGTCATGACACGTTGAGGCTGTCTATCACCACGTATAAGGATGATGCGATACCTTCCTCCCCCAAAGCTAATTACTCTCTTCTCCATTCCCCCCAGGGACATCCTCGGTTTGCTTATTTGTTAGTATGGACTGTAGCAGCATTAAAGGGGTGGTAATGGGCAATGGTTTCTAGGAAGCTAGGAAGTCTATAGAACTGTCAGCTCTATAGTTCTTTCCAAAACACTGGTATTTCTGCATACCCCATACAGACTGTTGGAAAATTAGAAAGTAAAATAAATATACCTTTAATTCTTAACATGAATTTACTGATTTGTTCAATTTAGTAAGCCTTTTAGATAATAAAAATAGGCTCCTAGCACTTACGGTGGATTACGTAGGGGTTAGGTTTGAATGAAATTAAGTTCTTTTCTCCCTTTGCTAGGAAATCTTTTTCTGCTGCTTCCTACTGTCCCTAACAGTCATCAGTCTCTTCCTCTGCTCCCTTTGTGCTCAGCTCTCCCACTCGTTAACCCTGCAGTGTTAGGCATGTTACTTAATCTCTTTGTGCTTCCATTTTGCCATTTGCAAAATGGAGGCAGTAAGTACCTTTTTCTTGGGGTTGTTGTGTGGGCTTAATGACAAGCCTGCAGTGTGTATTTACTGTGATGTCTGGCACATTGGTAATAAGCACTCAGGTGTTAACTGCTGTCACTAATATTTATGATGGTGGCGATGGTGGTTATTAAAGTCTCACTCAACTATTTTTGATGCCTCTTTTACCTTTCCATTTATTCAACAATTACTATAATCCAGGTACTATACTAAGCACTTCGCAGGCCATACATACTTAATAAACAGATGGTATTACCACCATTTTACAGATGAAGAAATTGAGGGGTAGAGAGGTTAAGTAACTTGTTCCAAAATCACACAGCTGTTAAGTTGTACAACTAGATCTCATACTCAGTAAATAGTTGTGGAATTGCATTAGGTTTAAGAAAGATTGTCACTGTAAATATCAGATGAGCATCTCTCAAGACTAAAACAAGAAACTGTACGTTCAGCCTTTGGTGATTCATAGTTGGATTGGATGTTTTGTAATCAAGAGATCTTAGCCCATTCTGTAAACCATGATGGCAGGTGACATCACTGTTACCAGGGAAGGGAATGCAGGAAAAGCAGAATAAGCTTTGCTGCTTTTAAAGAGTTACCGTTCAAATGCTTGAGAAGAAAAGTTACAGAAATTACCATAAACATCCAAGTCAAGTGGCAGTTTATCAGAATTTTTTAATTAATGAGCATGATTTCATAGAAGGCCCATATTAATTCAATTATGTAAAATAAGTTTACAGAATTGACAGTGGGAACAAAATAGCTTGTACCGAGAATTATTTACGAAATGTAGTTTTGTTCAGTCAGTAAGCCAAGTGATCTGTTGGAACTTCATATTTTTGTAGAGTTTGTAGAGCTTCACATTTTTGTTTTGTTTTGGTTTTCTCCTCCCTGCACTTTGGACAAAAAGAAGAGTCTGTTCTTTTTCTCAGTGAAGACCCGTGTAATTTTATTTTAAGTGGAGGTAACATTGCGTTAAGCAAAGGGGTTTTTTTTGTTTGTTTGTTTGTTTTTTGATGCATAAACACAGTGCTGTGACTTCAGGTATCAAGAACATTTGTATCAAGAACAATTTAGCTGGTAAAAATTTACTCATCAACTGATTTGGAAATAATTCAGAAAAAAAATGAAATCATTAAATTATAATTCTGAGGAGCATGATTGTGTTTTCAAATGTATTGTTCAGAAGGTAAATGTATCTTTTGTTATATTCTTACTTATAAGACTTGTGCTTTTATTATGATCATACAAGCAGTCTTTGAATTTATCCAAGGAAGGTGGGGCTAGTTTGGGGAATGTCATAAGCTCACAAGTAGTAGCCAGTGAAAGGATATTTGCCACTTATTAGCTAAAAGGGATTTTGCCAAAGAACAAATTAACATAATGGGCTGGATGACCAAGTAGTAGCTAAGTCTTGGTGTTGGCCGATAGAGCTGACTGATGGCTGCCATGGCAGAGCTGCTAATGGTGCTGGTATATGTGCTGATATCATGAGCAAGCAAGACAGATTCCTTATGATTAGTGAATCTCTTAACTCCTAGGGAAAATCAAAACATGACAGTTTTACCTGTCATGTTCACAAACTGAAAGTGGAAGAGAAGTGCTATTTGATGATGGTCATGTATAGGTACTGAGTGTCATCCAAAGCACAAGAAATGCCACCATATCCTTGGATTTGTGAGGAATGTTATCAGTCTTGAAATAGCTCTGTGGCCTCTTAGGCTTTCTCTGGACTGTTGTTTAATGCAGCCTATGCCTGAATTATGAAAATGAGTGTTTTTCTTGGGAAAGCCTTACAGGAACCTGTGGCCTGGATGGGAACTGATGTTAGGCTATTATTGATGCACAGAATTTATGTGATCATTGAGAGTAAAACTCCTGCTAAGTAAGGCATGTCCAAGAAGGACCAGGAGTCATCAATGAAGCATTCACTAGACATAGATACTTACTACTTTTAGAAAAAAGGCTGGTTACCTGCCTTTAGAGAATAGGTTCTGTATCATATACTCTCTCCTGCCACCTGTTTGTGTGCAGTGCCAGTGAGAGAATATGGATCCATGCCACAAGCAGTAAGCTAATACATGGACCCAGATGCCATGCGGTCTGCAATCGTTTGCATGAAAACAGGATGAGAAGCAGCTATAGCTGCTTTGAAGAAAATTGAGTGAATTCAACATAACCATTCAAATTAGGAGAGTAAACATTTCTTCCCCAAAGTCTGATTTAAATGTACATAAGGACAGATTGTTTTGAGGGTGGGAAATCACTGAAATTATAAACTGAACAGCTAGTTTTTAAAAGTTCCTGTGTGTCCTTGGGTCTTTTGTTTCTCACCCTAATTAAAAATTCAAAGTAGAAACATCATAGAGAGGGGGTGGGGAGAGAGGGAGAGGAGGGGAGGGGAGACTGGGTCTCTTTTTTCATGTCACCAGCCTTTGATGGTCAAGGATAGTGTGACTTTTGGGGAGATGGCTCTTGGAAGTTGTCTCTCCCAGTCAAGCCACCTCTCTTGCCGCTCAGGGCTTTGCGTGAAGCATTTGGGAGAATTTTCCAAGCACGATATTCCCGTTCATCTGCGAGATGACAGAGATGCAATTTAAGTCATTGAAATAGCAATCTATTGGCTACCAGAGATGGAGAGCTAATATGGACACAAGTGCCTGCTTAAACGTTCACGATATTGTGAAATAATATCGGACCTTTAAAAGAGGGGAGAGGGGTTAAAGTTAGTTATAAAGTTACACATATTTCCAAAGCATGAGGCAAAATAAGCTCAGTGCCAAAATATTTGACAATAAGATGCTTCATTGAATTGAGTAAGTGAATTGATGCTACAGTGGCTGTTCCTTTTTAGCTGATTGTCTTCCAATACTGTGAATGAAGATGGATTGTACTTAGAAAGTAAGCAGTTGAGCTTGATTTACACATAGCACTTCTGCCTCTCAACACTGACCATATTCCTTTCATTGCTTCCACCCAATTTACCCAGTTAGACAGATGGCATGATTTAGAACTTTTTAATGAGGTTTTCCCAGCTGTGCTAGATTCCACCTGTGTATTCATACACACTGCTAATCCACCTGGAACAAGAGCTTTGACAGAAATGGTCCCTGGCCATCTGAGTCTGTAACTTACTCAAAGGCAGTATCATCCTGCACCAGGACCAGGCCAAGGCATGGGCTTAGCTCCAAGCAGAAAGAAATTCAGACTTCATAGTAATGGCCATATTTAAAACATTTCTGATACAACTTGGAATAGCACACAGCTCACAGTCTGAAGCAGGGTGCTTTTCTCTCTGGGGTCTTACAGCATTGCTCACGCACTCTCTTGGGACTTTTGATTTGCAGATGCTAATGCTGGAGACCGTGTACAGACCAATAATGCCGCTTCTGCATCAGCTTCCAACTCCACCTGAACAGTCCCAAGCAGCCAGACGCACAGGAGAAACCACCAGTTACTTGAGTGTCACTCAGCAACACTGGTCACGTTTGGAAAGAAAATTAAAAAGAGGAAAAAAAAAAGCCTGTTCATTTTAGTGTTCATTTTTTTATTATTGTTGTTGTTCTTATTTAACCTTGTAAAATACCTATAAATACAAACCAGTTTCATTGTTTGAGGGAGATCCAGGGGATGGGAGGGGCGGTGGGGAGGGAAAAGCGGAGCACTAGGACACACAGTCTCTCTCCCACCACCATCTTTTTATCCAAAGTCTGCTGTTGTATACTTTAAAAACAGGTCTCCTGCTTCATGCCCCTTCCACAAAAGAAGAAACTTTGTGCTGAAGTTTTTTTAAACTTTGTTTTCTTTTAAAGTCAAGTGGAAGACTTTGGTATAGTGCACAGCTTGAAATTGGTTGGGAGCTTAGCAGGTGTAATTCAATGGGGACTTAAATGTCACTTGTAAAATTAATCCATATCCTCGGATGTTTGAAGACTTGCCTTTGGCCTGTTGGTGGCAGGTGCGGCAGACAAAATATAAGGAAATATGTATTGTGTGTAACCCAGGGAAGTCAATAAAGTTAGAAACTATAAGGGGAAGATTCCTGATTGATGTTAGAAGTTTTATTATGCTCTTAATCAGTGCTAGTGGTGGAGAGACTCGTGTGGGAACTGTCAGAGGAGGCGCCTGCCTACTCCACAGGCGGATCTTTGTTTGCCTGGCCAAAGTTTCTCTGCAAATCTTAGTACAGATGTAAACTAGTGACCCAGGGAAAGACTGAAAAGGGTATTGAGCCGGCCACTATGGCTGCAGAGGTCAAAAGCCAATGGACCTGGAAGAAGGGGACAAACCAGGGACGATCTCACCACTGTGAATGAACTAGTCCAGATTTTTTTCTAAAATGCTTCCCTTGGAAAGATACACTTGAGAAGACATTATAGTTAAATAATGTGAACTGTAACTAACAGTCTACTGGTTAATTTTTCATATTTTTAAATTACAGATTCAGCTTGCAGAAATTGCCACATTCTATACATAGTTCTAATTTTAAATCCAAATCTAGAATCTGTATTTAATTTCAGCTTTTTTTAACCTCATGCTTTTTAAATTTTATTTATTGATGCATGTCAGATAGGCCATTATGATTTCAGTTGGAGGAATATTAAAAACTACACATCAAAATGATACAAAAAAAGTCATTTGTACCTGCTGAATTTATAGGAAAGTAAATTATATAAATGTGTGTATATGTGTTATATATACTTAGATTCAATACTGCCTTTTTTGTTTTGTTTTTATTTGTCCACAGTATCTAAAATGACTGCTTGAAGAGTGAGAAGAGTGTTTCCGCCCATATCCAGTTAAGAGTTTTTGTTTGTGTTTTATGTGTCAGTGAATGGTGTAAGAATCAGTCTCTTGTTTTTGAAGAAAAAGCAATATTCCTTGGAAAGCAAGGAGGATTGAAGGATTATGTTTGCAGTGAGGAAATAGATTTTCACAACTAGTTTGTTTTATCCTTTTAAGGTTGACATTTATGTGGGCCTTATATACTCTAAAATGAACCTTAGTCGCCTTGGTGCTTAAGGGCCATTACTTGACCTATGAATCTTTAAGGCACAATCAGTTGTACTTTACATGTAAAGATCACTTGAGTGATGGCCGCCTTTCCCTCCGACCCGCTCCTTCCCTGCACACCTTCCAAGGTTAGCTGAGGGCTGTAGGGCTGCTGGGCTGAGCCCTAGATTGTGTATAACCTGCCTTCCTTCACCCTTCTCATTGCCACCTTACGTCATGTTGGGGGTCTTGCCCTCCAGGTGATTTGGAAGTAGAGTCTCTTGACAGCCCTCATGCAGAGCCCCACACCCTGTACTGCTTCTCACCCAAGTGTATGTGACTCTTCAAGAGAGTCCTGCTGCCTGCTGAAGCGAACCAGTACCCAGAAAGGCAACTGTGAGCCATCTTAGTTTTCACTCACTGTGTAGCTGAGCTCTTAGGCCACAAAGGGGGTTTCTCAAACCTCTGGTTATATCAGAGTTCGTGAGAAAGGAAACACACTCAGTCAAACCAAATTGAATTTTATCTTTCATAATGAGCCTTTGAGAGCTAATAAGATTTGAAAGATGTCTTAAAGTATTTGGCAACATGATCCTGAAGGAATGGCTTTGACAGACCATTTTCAGAGTGGATTTATAAAGAAGGTGGAGAGCAGGTCTAGGACAGAAGTGGACCTGCTTCCAGACCAGACTGCCCGGCTAAACATCTGGACACCGACACTCACCTAGATTTGGCATACTGGCTGGATTGCATAAAAATCTATGTTTTACAGAATACTCCCCTCCCCACCCCCAGTAGATGGGGTGAGAGAAGAGAAGTCAGATACTTTTCTCATTTATTGTGTGTGAGGGCTGAGATGCATGATTTTTTTTTCTTTCTCAAGTATCATGGCGGGATCATAGAACTCTTTTATACAAGTGAGATCCAGGTCTCTGAATATCTTTTTGTAAATACTACTACTAATAATAATAATAAAAAGCTCCTCACCAAATTCAAGCTTGTACATTATATTTTCTTTCAATGTTTTTAAATTTTATGTTTTATTGTTTTGTATGTAAATATGTGGACCCAGGAACTGTTATTAATGAGCAAAAAGTTAACTGTTCAGGGCAGTGATTCTGTTTAATAATCAGACAAAAATGTAGACGAGCTTTTTAAAGCCATATAGTTTTAACTCTGTACAGTAGGTACCGGCCTGTATTATTGTAACAATAACTCTAGCAATGTATAGTGTATCTATATAGTTTGGAGTGCCTTTGCTTCCATGTGTTTGGGTTTTTGTTTTTTGGTTGGCTTTTTTTTTTTTTTTCATCTTTTAAATTTTAATTGGTTTCCCTATCCACATCTCCCTATTGCACCCTTTTCCCTTTGAAATAATAGCTCACTCGTAACAGTGTCCGTGCCCTTCCCGGTGAGTTTCAGTGATACCATGTCCTGGGATGGAGGCAGGAAACCACGTTCACAGTGTCACCTCACTTGAGCCCTGCCTTTGTCTTGGTTCTGAATGCCCATTTCCTCCTCGGTAGCAGTGACTGCTTTCATTTCAGACTTGGGCCATCCAGGGACTTCAGGTGCCAGGGAGCCCTGGAGCTGGAGGATTTCAACAGATTCGATTTTGCTCGTCTCTTTCTCAAACCCTAGCCATGGGTCTTACACACAGCAGGTATCCATGCGCACTGTCCCCTCATCTCCTGCCCTCACAAATGGGAGGCAGAGGATTGGCTTCTATAAATCAGTTTCTTCCTAGTGTTAATTTTGATCGGCAGCGGTCTGAAATGCTGTACAGTGTGATACCAGCGGTTAGTGCGTGGAGCACCGCCGAGCCTCCTCCCACCCTCCTACCACCTCCACCCCTTTTGGCGAAATGTCATTTTAATTTCTTTTTTCAAAAATCCGTGTCTTACTCTGTACCCATCATGAAGGCCTTTTTGAAAAAAAAAATCAAAATTGTTTGTTTTGCCTCCAAGTACTCCATATGAAGATGTCTTGAGTAGAAGAAAAAACAAACTTTACCAAACCAAAGGTTCCTATTTTTGAAACATCGTATGTTCATTCCAGCAAGGCGGAAGACTGCACCTTCTTTCCAGTGACATGTCATTTTTTAAAGTCCTCTTAATTTTTAGATATTTTTGGTTTGTGTTTTAACAAAGCCTGCCTAATCAGCCATCTTGTCTGCACCAATGTAAAGGTTTCTGAGAGGACTATTATATTCTCTATCCCTGTGGATATAAAGACACTGGCATTTTTTTTTCCCTTTCCTTTTTAAGGGATTTAACTTTGGAATCTTCCAAAGGAAGTGTGGCTGATGCCAGATCCCCAGGAGCTTGTGGGGGTTTTCTTTGTTTTAAACCAAAATTGTACCTGATTCTTGTACTTGTTAGTAATCATCTAATCACAGAGCCGAACACTTTCTCACCTATGTAGGAAAATAAATTAAGCATGCTTTATAGTAAAATCAGTCTTTCTGATAGAAACCTGAGCCACTGAAAATAAGAGAGACAGCTAGAAGCAGAGCAGAGTCCCAGACTAAGGTCTACATTTGAGAGGCTTTGGAAGTAATCCCTGGGGTTTGGATGATTTTCACAAGGGTTATGATGTTTTGTTCAAGTTTGTTGCTCCGTTTTGCGCCTCTGCAATAAAAGCAAAATGACAACCAGTACATAAGGGGTTAGCTTGACAAAGTAGACTTCCTTGTGTTGATTTTTAATTTTTCTTTCTTACTATATCTGTCTACAGGCAGATTCAGATAGATGTATGAAATGTGCTTGCCTGTAAAATTTGCGTTTATAAATGTGTTGCCGATGGATCACTTGGGCCTGTACACATACCAATTAGCGTGACCACTTCCATCTTAAAAACAAATCTAAAAAACAAAATTTATTATATACATATATATATATATATATAAAGGACTGTGGGTTGTATACAAACTATTGCAAACACTTGTGCAAATCTGTCTTGATATAAAGGAAAAGCAAAATCTGTATAACATTATTACTACTTGAATGCCTCTGTGACTGATTTTTTTTTTCATTTTAAATATAAACTTTTTTGTGAAAAGTATGCTCAATGTTTTTTTTTCCCCCTTTCCCCATTCCCTTGTAAATACATTTCGTTCTATGTGACTTGGTTTGGAAATAGTTAACTGGTACTGTAATTTGCATTAAATAAAAAGTAGGTTAGCCTGGAAATGAAATTAAAATTCACAAGTGTGTGGTCTTTATTTCAGTACCCAGCTCTCCTCACCCTGCTTATTTTGCCACCGCAATATGTAGTCACATCACCATCTTTCCTCCAATTAGAGACACCTGGATCTTTGTTGTTAAAAATCAAGGTATGAACATTAGTTCTTGTTCTTTCCAATGATCTTACTCCATTGTGTAGCCCCAAGAGGTGCAGCTTCCATCTTGGAAACCTTTGGATTTGATGTAGAGGAAGCTTTGCAGACATCGCTTTGAAAAGGACACAACCCTGAAAGGGACAAGTTTTAAAAACATGTATAAGCTGCTGTCTTTGATTATTGTGTTCACGGTTTGGTGTGGCTGTATTTTCTCTTAAGTTTCATCCCATTAGTAATGTGTTTGGGAGAATCTGTAAAATAAATGAACACCACAAACAGTGGGGCTGTACCTCCCAGGTAACCAACACATGTGTTTAAGTTTGATCATTTCCAATACTGGATGATGTTATGTAAACATGTAACGTCTCTTTAGTGCAAAAAGACATTTTTTTCTTAGGGCTGGCTCACTGTCAGGCCTAAACTAAAGGCTAGATATAAAGTCATGTGACTGCTGCTTCAATAAAAACATTTATATTGGATAAAAGTCTGGTCCTCATTTCATTGTGGAGTTGGCTAGTATTTGTATCATAAAGAGAAGTAACAGTTGCAGGGAATGAAGGGGGGGGTTATGATGTCACTTGTGGGATGGGCTGGCCTCTTGATGGCGAAGTATGTTTTGGAGATTCACTGGAATGTTTCCTCCCCTGTTTGAATGGGGGGTCAAGGGAGATCCCCTTTAACTGAGAATCTTGGAGGGATATTTTTCCAGTCCTTTGGGAATCACATTTCAGGGGAGCAGTGACTGGATACCCTTTTAGGTATTGTAAAAGGGTAGGTAGGAAAGGGAGCAGTCGGAGTGCAGAATCCCTTGGAGGAGAAGCTGGTGAGAGGAAGTGAACAAAAGTGACACGGTGGTCACCCAGTCCCTAGTTGTAGGAGCAGTTCACTTGCTCACTAGCACCTTCAGGTTTAGGAGAGCTGTGGGTATGTAACAGGAACGGGCCCAGGGAGAAAACTGAAATGTGCACGATGGAATGATGAGGCCCACGAGTTGTCAGAGCTGGAAAAGGATGATCAATCAAATCTTGTTTGTCTGCATCCTCTTTTCTCCAGAAAGGAGAAATTAGCTGCTGAGTGGCTCTGACTAATTGGATAGCCAGAAGGTAAAGAGTAGCTTACTTAGGAGGTTTTTTCTCCTGAGCTTTGGAGACTAACTTCACCTTCACCTGAGGCAAGGCCTAGAAAAAGAACAGAGGCCGCAGGGATGCCTAGAAACTGACAGTGCTACACGCTCAAAGCAGGTGGAGGGAGTAATAGGGAAAATCAAATGTTTGAGGATAGGAAATCTGAACCCGGCTCTAGGCTTAGGAGCTCCAGATCCAAAAACTGCTGCAAAGAAGTATCCTGTGTGACCTCTGGTGCATCTAACCTTGAATCTTAACTACACTTGGCCTACACTTTGCTTTTAATAATATATATGTCATGCATACATATCAAGTCAATGTTTGGGGAACTGCCCAGGTGTTTCTAAAATCAATACTGGGAGATGAGAGTTTGCACCCCATCTTAATCACAGCTTGCCCTCACTTGACTGCAGCATACATTTGAACAACTAACACACTCGAAATTATCCCAAAGAGGAAGGGGACGTATATGTGATTTATTAATGCAGTTAAATGACAGTTACATTTCCAAAAGAGACAAATTTCCTGGGAGCAAAAGCTGTATTCATTGTATTTGCAGAGAAGCTTTTTTACCCTGTTTCTTTTTAAAAATGAGTGTGTTCTAAATCTCCGTGCAGAAGAGGCTGGTAAATCTGGAAGGAATGGAGGGACTAGGTTTGCTCACTGTGATGTGTAGTGTCAATTTCTTCCATTCTCAGAGTTTGGTCAACTTCTTGTAAAATGGTAAAGGCTAAGCAAGTATCTTCCTTAAAATTCAGTTAACTTGTAGCTTCATTTGCATCAATGTATTAGACTTTTGAAATTAGTTCAACTATTACATGTTTAATTGTGGTATAAATATATAACATTTTTATATGGAACAATCACTTTATGAGAAAACCAAGTTCATGCATTTTTATGTTCTTGCACCAACAGTCTTAAGATATGTAAAGGGCAATAGTAAAATAAGTACTAAAAAATGGAAATAAAAATTCATACATTGTATGTATGACATTTCTATTTTCCCACCCCACATGTTCTTTTCCCCAAAAGTTAGAAAAAAAAGTTTTAAATTTCTAGCCGAAAGTTAATTATTGAAGCTGTCAGGCCTTGATTTGACATTAAACTCAATTATATTTGCTTACTAAGCTTTAGGAGTGGAATGCCTACGTAAAATTAAAGTGTAATTCACAGAAAAAAAAGCAAAAACATTTTTACTCAAAATGTCTATAATCAAAGCAGACACTTTCATACTCTTGAGCTTTGCTAATGGATTTGTAAACAGGAACGTGCCATTGCACACACACCTAACACATTTATTAACTGCCCGTCCGTGCAGCCTGTCTCCACGCCCCGGTGTCCCAGCCTCAGGAGCAAACCCGAGCCCCAGCTCAGATGTGGAGCAGCCCTTCACCAAGTCACACCCACCTACCCACACGTTCCAGAGGTCCCTGACTTGAGTCCCCAGGCGCACCCAGCACCTCAGCATAGTTTAGCATCAGCTCAAAGAAATCTCTTCTTATGTCACTTGTCACTTCTCCCTTTGATCAGTTATTTGTGTTTCTGCTTTGTTTTCTTCACCGGCCTATAAAGTAGCCAAGGTCAGAATCCACATCTGGTTCAGCATGTCTATCACACAGCAGGTCACATCTTGTTGGTACTTAATGTTCGGATGGATGCGGAGACACAGAAGGAGGAAGCGTGGGCACATAGAATGGTCACGACGAGCTTCTGACGTTTGTGCAGGCTCTCTGGCTTCTCTCTAGAATATTCTCAAAGACACTAATGCCCTGCTGATCAACACAGACCTGGAACTCCCTGAGCAACTCAGGACAGGGGCTGCAGGTTGAGAGTAAGTGGGAAGTAGAACACGGGAGAACTAGAAATAGCCGTGAAAAAACCCAAGAAGCTAATGAACTCGGGTGTGGGCACAGACCCCTCAGATGGCCCAGCTCCAGTCATCCTTTCTGCTCTCCTACCGCAACCCTAAATGTCCAGGCCATAAGGCCTTTTCTAAGGGAGCGGTGGCCTTGCCCCTTCATAGACCTGACCTCTCAGCCAGTGCATTCTCCCTATGAGGGTCAATGGCTTTGCTCCCACAGACTGTGCTGGGGGCTGGGGTCCCATGTCCCCCTCCTGAGGAAGTCTAGCCAGCATCGTCGGAGCTGTCGTGAGTTCCCCAGGAAAGCAGTGTCTGTAGGGCCTGGTCTGATCTCAGCAGCGTCCAGCTGTCCAGCCCCAGGAGTAGCAGCCCCTAGGGCTCGGGCTCTGGCTCTGGCTGCCCCATAGAGGCACACCCATGGGGGGCCTCCGAGATGCCGAACAATTCCTGCATGAGGGGAGTGGCGAAGGGGTGTATGTCGTGGATGCGCAGCAGCCGCTGGGTGTGCTGAGCACTGATGCTGCGAAGCTCGGTGAGCATAGCCATGATCTTCAAGAACAGGAACCTGCCGGTCAGCCAGAGCAAAGGTTGGGGGCAGCCCCATCTCGCCCCTACCCACCATCCCTGGGACCACCCTGGAGTTGCACAAGTTCGGGGGCTGTGGTCTCAGAATGCTTTGGGTCAGCCAAAATTCGACTGAGAAAGTCGAAGCTAAATTCCTTAAGCATCTTTTTCAGCTTGTGGATAAGAAAGACAGAACAGCCTGGGAGACTTAAGGTGTGGACCTGCACCCCTCCCCTCAACTTGCACCTCAGCCTCTGGCCTCGAGTCCTTGTACACAGAGGTTTCCGTGGGAACACCCAGTCATGGCAGGCACCAAGCGCACAGGTCAGTTTCAGGAAGGAGTCAGGGGCTGGGCTGATGGCTGGGATGAGCGGCGAGGGCAGTGGTTGTGGAATCAGGGGCTGCAAGCCGCTATCCTTTCTGGATCTTGCCCAGGATATAGTGGCTGAGACACACCTTGTGCCTCAGTTTCCCCATGACACCTCGCAGCTCCATACGGGAGACAGCTGAGCAGAGGAAGACACAGCCACTGTAGCCTCCCAAGATTCTGCGCTCAAAAGACCACTGGAGCAGGCCGAATAAGGACTCACATACACAGCGCTGGCCTCATGGCTGAAACCTGTGGACCTCTGAGGCCCAGAGAAGGCATGGAAGCCTGTGTCCAGCCAAGCTCTTAGCAGCCTTCTTCCTTCGGGGTGTGAGAGAACAAACTAAGGAGTTTCCTGCCCCATTTGCTTGTCTTTGTTCTGGGAGTTGGTTGGGCAGTGCTCAGGAGTGTGGGCTGAGGCCTTGGTCCGCCTGGTCCTTCCCCAGATCCCACCTGTTTGACTGTGGAACCTGGGACAGCCACCTTGAGCCTCCAGTCCCCTACAGGTGGTGGTAGCACCCACTTGGTGGGGCTGTTTTCAAGACTAATAATGAGAATACATGTAAACTGCTTGTCACCAGGGCTGTCACTTCTCAATAAATGGTAGCTATTATATAGATTTACTATTATCATTATTGTTAACGTTAGCTTTATTATCGTTATGGTATTGCTGGCTATTGCTAGAAGACCCTACGGGGGCCTCAGGAGACTTCCTGGCTGTTCCCCGTCCCTTGATGACAGCAGGGAAGGTCCCAGGCAGACAGGAGCTGAGCCTCGGGGAGTCAGCCCTTTTCAGGTTTCTCCATTGGTGGACCGGGGCTCAGGCTGACGGGGCGGGAGGCCTCAGTGGGGGTCACAGAACGGGCCCCAAAGCCCTGGCAATCAAAACCCGCCCCAGGAGTGCCTCCAGTATGCTCTCCCAAAGAAACCCAAGACAGGGTGGGGGAGGGGGGACGGAGGGCAGGGCTAGGGGAACCCCTCACACCCTCCCTGCTTGCTGCTCACCGGTGGCCAGGCTGGGGACGATTGCACTCGATGTAGGCCTTCAGGGTGATGGCAAATTGCTCCTGCAGCTGGTCCACCACACTGCGCTGCTCCACGCCTGGGCGGTCTGGCAGAAAGGGAAAGGCAGCGTGGTGCCAGCGAGGCCATGGGGGCAAAGACCAGCTCGGTCTGGCCCAGAGAGGGCAAACTGCCCGGCAACCTTCCAGAGCCAAGACACCCAGTCAGAGAAATGAGCGGGGCCCCACGAGGGCTGCGTGTGGCCCACCCACCCAAGGAAAAATCAGCTGGAGCCCCCATCCTGTCTGCGCAGTGAGAGGGCAAAGCTATTGGTTAGGATCTTCCCTGGGGATGGTGGAGGAGGGGCTGCTGCCTCCCCCTTCCCCCCTCTCCCCACCCCAGGTAAAGCTGAAGGGCTGTGAGCAGGCCTCGGTGCAGGGAGGCCAGGCCGGTCAGACAGGGGCCTCACCTGGAGAGAAGAGGGAGATGGCCTGCATCAGCACATACTCCTCCTTGTGCAGCTGCAGCTTCTTCAGCATGTAGTGGAACTTCAGCACGGGCTCCAGCAGAAGCTGCTGAAAGCTCCCTATGGGTTGGTGCAGGTGGAGGGGAGAACCAGTCAGGAAGTAGACCCAAGCCCCAGAGTTCCCTGACCAAGGTCGTTCTTCCCATCACCCAGCCTTCTGCCCTAAAGTCTCAGGACACAAACATCCGGGCACGGATCCTCCCCTCCCTCCTCATTGTTTCCCTCCCTCTGCCAGGGCAGCAGTTAGCTCTTGGGCACCTGTAGGGTCTTCCAAGCAGTAAGACAGACGGCCACACTCCAAGGTCCCAGTCTCTGTATTGAACACCGTGTTGAATCTCAGCTGGCACAGCTCAAAGGCAGCCCCCTTCAGCAGCGAGATCTGGTCCTCGATGGACAGGTCCCTGGTAGCAAGGATAGAAAGGGAGGGAGCCAGCTTCAGGGAGGCTGCCATAGGCCAACACCCACTCCACTCCCATGATCCAGAAACTGGGCGAAGGGGAGGGAGCACATAGGATGGCCTCATACCCCTGAGGATCATTGCAGTTGCTTTTGATTACCTCTCCACTCTTCCCTGCACAATCCAGCCAGGCAGATCTCCCTCCCTGCCACCTTCCTCTAGTCTCCTGCTGCCTTCAACCACCCCACCGAAGGAGCTTGGCATCCCGTGCAGCCCGGCCCCATCCACTCCAACTCCCTGCTAGCCACTGACCCACAGCCGATCATCTTGGCTCCTGCTCTCTGGCTTCATACTTTCTGACTCAGTTTTCCCACTTGGCATAATAGCCCCTTTATCTCCACTTAAGTAAGCACTACTAGTCCTTCAGGCCAAGCTGTCTTTGTGCCTCCTAGAAGTCTTTCTTCCAGAGTCCTGCTGCCGCCACTCCTTTGGCATGAGTACCGTGGTGCGGGGGTGTCTGCTCCCTGCAATTTGCTGTGGATTTCACGTTTCCACTGTTTCTCTCCAGGCAGCCTGGATGCCTTGATTCCCAGGTAGCCACGGTGGCTGCCTCTGATGTTCCTCCCCCTGGCTTTGCTCCTCTCGGGAATTCAGTCCCGTTTTCCTCACACCCCACACTTTCAGGTCCATTACACAGAGCTGTGCAATCGATCTTATTCCTCTGGACTCCCCAGCACCCGGCCCCGGGCCTGCAGGTAGTAGCTGTGAACTCCACATCCACACTGCCCAACCTGGTCTCTCGGGTTAGCTGCAGCCGTGTGTAAGTTCCTTCGCCTCGTGGGCCTCAGTTTCCTATCTGAGAGTGACAGTGAGAGCAACGCCTGCCTCCTGGGTGGTTGTGCTCAAAACTATGGCCACAAGAAGCAGCACGTGGCCTTCCGTCCTGTGGGTCAGCAGGTGTCAGCGGGGATCATCAAGGTCCACAGCGTGAGCAGGCCGTTCTCCCGGCTCCTCTGACCTACTTTGCCACGGTCTGAATTCCACTCCAGCCGGTGGCCACCCCTCACCAATCTGTCACGCCCAGGGCCACAGGGGATGCTATGGCCTCCTGGGATATAACTCGCCCTCTGCCCCTCCTGTGTTATTCAGCTCCACCTGACCAGGCCAGGTGGCCAGCCCCGGGCTGGTGTGCCCAGCACTGTCACCGGCCCCAACAGATTACGTCTTACGGGACAGCACTGGCCACCTCGCCAGGAGGATTCCAGGTTTCTCCCCACCTCGGGCCCCGTGGTTGGTGCCTCCACGCCTAGCTCTGGGGAGTCCCACCCTCTGGTTCTCAGGACTGCCCTCCTCCTCACGGCCCCTCTCAACCACCTTTTGGCAGCCGACTGTTAGAGACCCAACGTCCGTGCCTGTCTCTCTCCTTCTTCCCCCTCTGGACTTTCTTCCCTTTCCTTCCAACTCTTTCTTTGAACTGGAACTGTCCATGTATGATTCCTGCTCTTTTTGGGAGAAATGGGGGAGGGAATCTGAACGTCCATCATGTGTGAGCTAGATGCTCTGCAGACGTTTACTTATTTCAGACCACAGCTCAGCCAATAGGCCTCATTAGCTCCCTTCCAAGACACAGTGAGACTGAATGGCAGGCCCGCAGTCCCACAGCTAAGGAGACGGGCAGCGAGGGCTCCATGCCCCACAGTGCCAGGTGCCCGCAGCGGGGGCAGAGGTAAAGGAGGTCTTTGGGCACCAACATTCCCCGACTTCAGAGGCATCTGCCTCAGAGCCTTTAGAAATGCTGGCTGCTTTCTGTCCTTTTCCCTACCCTTCCACCAGCCCCCAAGTCTTACCTGAAGTGGGAAATGACTTTGGCAAAGTTGATGATGCCTTTGAACATATAGGTTGACATGTCAGCCATGTGAGGCAGCATGGAAAAGATTTCTTTCCCGCTGGTGGCCACTGGGGGTTTGTAGTTCCAGATGCTGCCGTCCTCCCCCTGCAGCTTCAGAGAGACCTTCAGTAGGCGCAGATCTTCTCTAATCTGGCTCCACTTGGTAGCTTCTTCCACCGATGGAGTCTGCAGAGATTCCGGGATCTCATGGCCACTGCTGAGCGCCTCCGGCAGCTGGAACAGAGTGGGAGGTGGGGAAAGGAGAGGATAGACAGCACGTGTTCTCCCAGACGAGTTCCCACACAGGCGCCTGATGGGCACCCACAGCAACAGGCGTGAGAGGATGCACAACTGCAGGCGTACACACGCGCACACACACACACACAGCACTTGCTGCTTCTCTCTGGGCTCCTATCAGGTGGTGCACTTTCTGGATCTGTGAATTAATGTTCCCTCACATCCCTGCCTGGTCAGACATGGGTTTGCTCCCTGCCCCGGGGAAGGCCAGGGGACCTATACCCATGGGCGTGTCCCAAGCATCCCTGACCTTGCCCTTGGGAGACTCAGAGAGAAGGGTCTGAGGTCTACATATGGAAAGAACAGATCTCTGGCTACCAGTTCTCTGCACTGGGCAGGTCCCAAATACTGCGCACATGGCGGGCTCAGGGAGAAGGCCACGGGCGTCAGAGGTAGCTGACAGTGTGGAGACCACTGATGTCTCTTGAATCAGTAAGACAAGTTCACACCTGTTGCACCTCCATGGGCCCTGCCCCTGTTTTCCTAAAGTCTGGAATGCCAGCAAATCTGGGGCAACTCAGCCGCCAGGACTCCATTTAGGGCTCAGACCCAATCCCACCTGCTCTGGAAGGAGAAGGCAAAGACTCTCAAACTGGAGCAGGCGCCAGAATCACTTGGGGGGCCTTATCAAAATGCAGACCATCAGGCCTGCCCTCAGGGTTTCGGGTTTGGAGGTCTGGGGCACTCTGAGACTCTGCATTTCTGACAAGTTCTAACAAGTTCCCAGGTACCACTGCTGCTGGTGTCCAGGGCCACTCTTTCAGGGTTCCCAGTACCATAGCTGCTGAGCCAACCCTCCACCCTCGTACCCGAAAGTTCTTGAAATGGCAGAAAGTGGTGTCGAAGGTTTTCGTCTGTGCGTCCATCAGCTCCCTGATCATAGCCCGCTGCTCTTCAGTCAGGCCCTTGGCTCCCAGGGGCTGCGCCCCAGTCTGTTCTCGCTTCTTCCTTCTGATCAGGGCCCGCCTCTGCTCCACGGCTGCATCAGACATGATCACTGCGGGGACAGCCAGGTGCAGGTTCAGGTGGAGCTAGGCCACCCTTCTTAATCCCACGGGCAAGGGAAGGGCGTTCTATAAGGAACCCACTCATCTTCGGACTCAGGAGGACTGTGGGCTCCTCTGGAGAGACACCGAGGTGAGGACAGAGGGAAGCGTGCAGCTGGTGTGCTCCCGTGGCTGTGGGGTTCGTGACAACTTTGTGGAACAGTCGTGGGAAGAGCTCGGGCTTCGGAATCGAAAGCTGCTAGACGCGAAAGGCAGCGGTGACCTCCAGCCAACTCCTTAACCTCTCCCGCCTTCAGTTTCCTTCTTTGTAATCTGGAGGAACCTCAACTCCAACCACTGCCCTCCTACTGCTGTCCCAGCGGGGCCGTGCGTGGGAAGCGCCTAATGTGGCTCCTGGCTGTACTACGTAGGAGGTGTATACATACACACACCTATATTCACACACACACATGTGTGTGCATAAACATATATACATATGTATACATCTCTATGAATATACATAGTGGTGAGCGAGAGCAGATTTACAGTTCTATTAATAATACAATAAGAAATAAGAATACAGGAATATACCCCGTGATTTGTGTACTCACGACTGTGAACCTACTTGGCCAACCCCTGTATATTCACACAGACACACCCTGGAATTAGTGAGTGTTCAGGAAGTGCCATCTGGTAGCGCGCATCCCTGTCTAGCGCATTAGACACCAACAAAAGTCCTTAGAGTCCTCTGAGTTCTCTGGGTCCCCAAGCTTGTGGAAAACTGGGGCCACTGCTTAGCAAGAAATAACGACCCAACCACTTCCTAAGTAGCCTGGACCTTTGGGGTCTCCTGTGGATTTCTGGAGCCCACTGGTGTGTGCAAAGTGAAGCCGTGGGTGTTCTTGGGGGGGGGGGACAACAGGGAGAGCAGGGGAAGGCCTCCCTCTCAGCTGGTCTACAGGGAAGGCTCTCTGCTCATGTGCCCAGGGAACTCAGCCCTGAACGAGGCTGCCCGCTCTGTGATAAATGGAGACAAATATGTGCTGGAAGCTTCCAATCTTTCCCCCATGAACTTTCATCTCAGAGTGACCCAGGAGTACAATTATTCCAAAGCTTGACAGGTAGAATGAAACAGCATCCTGTGTCACCCGTCTGCAAACAGCCCCTGTGTAGGACGTGCCGTCCGGGACAGCCAATGGGCACTAGCCACGGGCAGGTTGGGGGTCGTATGGCACCATGTGTCTCTGGCCTCCCTCTCCCAAATTCACTTCCCCCAACTCTGCTAAAACACCATAAGGACCATTTTAAAGGGGACAAAAAGAATTACAGGGGTACCTCAGAGGGGAGAGGGGCATGACTCTGGTCTGAGACCCCCACACAGCCAGAGCAGGGGATCAAGTTACCCTCCATCTGTCACATCCCTGGGATGGACTGCGGTGGTGCCCGCTGCAAGCTCTGCCCCACGTGCCTGCCTGTTGCACACAGGCCACAGCTACCACATGCACCTGTGCACAGGTGCACACACTCCTGTGCACATCCCCACACCTGGGCATTCACATGCCCCAGGCCTGTTCCTGCTGGGCCCCAGGCTCACAGAGCCCGTGCACCCAGCCCCGCGCCTGCTCAGGGCACAGCCCTCTACTCACTCTCCTTCTTCATGCCACTCTCCAGGCACTTGCGCAAGCGGCAGGCCTGGCATTGCCGCCGGGTCGTCTGGGTGATCTTGCAAGTGCCCTTCCGGAAGGGGCACCTCAGCCGGGCGTTCCGTTTCATGGCCCTCCTGTGAGAGAACAGACAGCAAAAGCTAGGCCACGGAGAACAGGCCCGGGAGCTCTAGGCCCCACCTCTCTTTCTCCCTGTCCTGTCCCAATGCCAGGGACATTAGCCGCACCCTCCGTAGGCCTGCCTTTGCCTCTGATTTGGGTCAGATTCATAGGAAAGGAGAGGAGGGGGCTTTTCCGTCTTCCGTCTGGGCTGGGCTTTCCTCAAGGACCAGAGGTTGCTGGAGGAGGGAAGCCCGTGAAAATCTTTCCCGCTATGTCCACGCTGTGCTTTCAACACACCCTCACGACAGCCCCGAACCACCGTCTGGGCTGCTTCTGCTCCAGGCCCCAGGCCCAGGTCCCTCCCTCACCCTCCCACACTTCCTTCTGTCCTTGGTCCTGGGCAGCCCAGAGGAGGACCTTGGCAGTGTTTCTGGGGAGGTGGCCTTCCCGGATTTCCCCTTCTTACACAAGGGACCGGAAGAAGCCTGACCCCAGAAGCCTAAGAAACATAAGAAGCAGCCGCTCTAGGTTCAGGGGTCACAGGTGCCTAGAGGAGGGGCAACTGTTGAGGGGTTTTCTACCCCACTGGGCAGTGGCTTCCCCGTTGGCAATGTGCCTTCCCCCGACTGGCCTCATGGAGCAAAGAAGCTCACAGCCCTGTTATAGTGAAGTGTGTGGTTAGCGCAGCCACTCGTCCTTGCGCAGCTGTGCCAGGTAAGGGGGTGACGGGGTCAGTGCCCCTCAGAGGCCCCAGCACCACCGCCCTCTCCCCACAGCGTCCTGAACTTCCCACAGAAGACCTGGCTGCTGGGTTGTAAATTTATCTTCCCACCCATCACAGCAGAATAGAAAGAAGAAAAATTCTTCCCTGGCGCTAGCTTCTGGTTCTGGTCCCGCAGTGTGGAAAATGAGGGAAAGCTGGTGAGGAACATGGGGACAAGCTGAGCCCAGGGGCTGAACCGGGAGGCTGAGCCACACTCAGAATCAGGTGACCGGCAAGTCAGGCCGTGACTAGCCTGGGGGGCAGGTGTTGCACAGGCAACACCCCCTGTCTTTTGCCTCCCCTGCCGCTCTGGGTAAGAGACCCCTGCTCCCACCCCAGAGCACCCAGAAAGGTAGAGGGGGAAGGCACTCAGGTCTGTTCACGCCATGCTAGGGGTCAGGCGCTGGGCTAGGTATTCTGCAGAGCTTCGGAGATTTTGTTATTACAACTGCAGAAAATCCACTGGGTCACCTGCCTGGCGCAGATGCAGAAGCCAAGTCAAAGACACATCGCCACGCCAGCTGTCCTTAGGCTAAGGGACAAGCTGAAATTTGAATCTGTGTCTGCCTGATGCCAGAATGCAAGCTTGTCCCACTACAGTGTGCTGTCTCTCTCTGGGGGTCCCAGGACAGGTGGGGAGAGCAGAGGGCCCCACACCCCAAGGCGTTCCACACAGATGCTGCAGGCAGCATTAGATCCGGCTCAGGGGCCCACCCTCCTCCGGGTGGCCCTGTTGGCACATGCCTGTCTCAGGGACACTCTTCTGTGAGTGACCAGTTCAGGAGGAGCCTGGTGCCCAGTTCTAGCTGATGTGGAATGAGGGCGGCCTCCTGGGAAAGGCTCCCTTGTTCTCACAGAGAGGAAGAGGCAGGCCTTCCTGTTCCCAGGCTGAACGCCGTGGTTACTGCCCGTGGCCCGGGCACTGCGGGTCAGACTGAGCTCTGACGGAGCTCAGACCGAGGTCAGGGCCCTCGAGTTGGGTGGCAGAAAAGAAAAACAGAAAGAACTGAGCTGTTAATCACACCAACCCTGAATTTGACTTCTAGTTATGAAAGGTAGCATATTTTCCTCATTGATAAACCCCTTTGAGTGGAAGATTCTGTCGCCTGTAACTGAATGCAGCCTGACACTGGCTGGTCCAACCTCTGTTAAAATCCACACAACATGCATGTTCATTTCTCACCAGAACACGGGTTTCTTAGAATGCCCTAGGCTCACCTAACCCCGTGGGGACCTGAGAATAGCTCAAGTAGTCCACAGTGGGGGGTCGGGGTTCACTGGGGGGCGTATGGGTGGGGAGGGGAGAATTGACCTGCTGCAGTGCCTCCCTGGGCTGATGCCGGCCTGAAAGTCCTCCTGTGGGTCTGGGCCCCCACCCGTGAGATGCTGATGGCAGCCATCTCTGGGACTCTAGGCTCTAGAGTCTAGAACAGAGTGTGGGGGCCCTCGCTCTGGAGTTTGTTTCCATTTCCTTGTCCAGCCTCCAGAAAAAAACTCTTCAGAGGCCTCCATCCGGCTGGTGTCCTGACAATGAACGAGGGTCCCAAGTGTGACCTGCAGGTAGGACCTGCCCTCAGCTTACCCAGCCCGCCATGAGGGCCGGTGGGGGAGCGCCCTTCCTCACACTCCCCTTCCTCCGCCCGTCCCCTCCCCTGGTCCGCTTCCGCCCCCCTGGTCCGAGCCTGCCCTGAGCTCGGCTCTTTCCTCTGCCGGGCAGCATGAGCCCTTCTGTCTGGGCCTGTCTTGCTGTGAGCTGGGACTTTTCAGTCCTTCATCTTTGGCCCTCCCATTTGCCTGTTTCTAGATGAGCTTGTCTGATCACAGTCTTCATTTATTTTATGCCATTCTTACTTAAAAACACACTCTAAGACTGATTTGAAACTTTGCATTTTGAATTTTCAAATTCTTTCCTCTTCTACAGACCGGATTTCTATTTTATTTAGAACATGTGGGGAAACAGAGGGTATCTTAATAGAAGAAGATCTTCCTCAGGTAGGAAAACAGAAGATGAGAATTTCTCTGAGGTGTAAATGGCTCTCCGGAGACTAATTTTGAGCCTAATGGGCCACTGGCCCTCACTCCGGACCCAGGAGACAGGTCCAGTTGAGGCCCTGGTGTCCAGGGGGCTGATGGCAGAACCCCAGTTAGATGTGACCCTGTGTGTCAGGGGTGGCCCACGGGGGAAGGTCGACAGGTTACTCTACCTGAAGAAGCCCTTGCATCCTTCACATGTCATGACATTGAAGTGATAGCCAGTGGCCTTATCCCCACATACACGGCAGATTTGGGGCCCCCCACCTCCCTCCTCTGCGTTGACGGCGGGCCTTCTGGGAGTGGAGTCTGCTGCTCCGTAGTGCACAAGGTCATCGTGGTTCCAGCTCTCTCCAGGTCTCACCTCCAGGTTTGCTTCTGGCCCTCTGGGACTAGAAGGAAAATAATGACAGGCGTTGAAGGGGCTGGACGGGCTTGTGCCAAGGCTGTCCTCATTGTGCGCCACTCACATTTGGTTCTGTGGACCCAAGAGCTGACCTGTCCTGGAAGAAACTGGGGGTGGGATTGGGGTCGTTATGAAGGCAGATGCAACCGCGTCACTGTATGTACAATAATAGGGCCTGGGGTAAAACTCATGGACAAGAACGTTGAAGAGGAAGGAAGAAGAAGGAAAAACAAAAGGCTACCTGGCTGGGACTGTAGACGTAATTCTTGAACAGACTGAGATTAGGGGAGCATGAACAGGTCAAAGGCCAGAACGGGGGCCATCATGGGACACACCACTGGTTCATGATGGTTTCTGGGGCTGGGAAGACCTGGGGAGGGGAGTCTCTGAGGGGTGCTGTGGCCCAGGCTCCCAGAGGGAGCTGGGATGGCTAAGGAGAAAGAGGGTTTTCAACTGGGTAACTGACCAGATGGGAGAAAGACAGAGAGGAGCCAGGCTCACGATGCAGGAGAAAACGGCCCAGACCCCTGAGAAGCCAGGGGGAAGGTGGACAGTCGAAGAATTTGTGTCCATTAACAGAGCTGCGCACAAGGTGTCCACCTAGACAACTTTCACCCTGAGAGAAGGATGGGCACTGAGAGTGATGAGCAGAAATTCAGAAGAACTGCCTTTTCACTACTGTGCCCGAAAATCTCTCTAGGCACTGATGGCCGAGCACCACCACGCCCCAGATGATGTTGCCTTTTCTAAGACCAAAATAAAATTTTAGTACAATTTCAACATCTGAATTTTCATTTCTGATAGCATGGCAGATGAAAGAGGACAGTTTCACCTATAAGGATGAATTAGAAATTAATCTGTCCCCTGACCCTGACCCTCTAGAAAACTGCAAATAAAATAGGCTGACAGTGAACTTGAACTGAACAGGGATGGTGATGGATGTTAGCTAAATTTATTGTGGTGATCATTTTTGCAAGATAAGCAATTATCAAGTCATAATATTGTCCACCTGAAACTAATGTAATATTATATATAAACTATACCTCGATAAATAATAAACACAATTTTTGAAAAAGGGGATAGGGGCAGATGCTGAAATGGTAACTAACAGTTACTGAAACTCACAGTGTTCTGGGTTCTTTGCAAAAGGTAATTATTATAACATTTATCATTTCACTCACAAACATCATTGAGCATCTATCACACACCAGATACTGCGATGTCGGCCCCTCTTCGTGTTTTACAAAAGCTGAAAGTCATTCATTTGGAAGAAACCCAGGGCATGCCATAAAACCCTCCAACTGCTCAATTACAAAGAGGTCCAAAATCAAAGGTCGTCACAGAAAGGGAAAATTTTATGCACACGGTACTGTTTCAGAGTGCATGTCAGAGGAAAACACGCTGCCTTCAGCCTTCACCCTCATGCAAGAGCCATTAGGAACAGCAGAATCTGGGGCTATGGAGATGGTTGGCAGAAATTCTGCATGGAAATGCCCAACTTTGGACAAAGGAAGAGTGAGATGCCATTCCCTGGAAGAGCAGCAATACGTAACTACAGCAAGAAGTGTGGGTCGCAGAGCTCCGTAGATGACACACACCAAGAAGATAATAGGAATGTCTCCTAAGGGACAGAGAAGAGACATCTACTTAAACCGTGTCTGATTAGTACATTCTCCAATTCCTCAATGTGGAGGTACTAGAATTAAGGTCAGAATCCCACTCTCTAGCATTGGTATAACTTTTACTTTGTTTTGTCTGAGTTTTCTGTTAAATAAGCAGACACTGGTGCATTCAGTGGTCCATTCTCTCATATCGTTATGAAGCCCCAGGTAGGGAGCCATGATAACTATTCTCCACAGGTGGTTCCCAATGAACCTCACCTCCCGGGAGTCTTGCCCTCATGCTGTTCCCTCCCGTGAAGAATCTGCTATGGTCTATGACTTGTTTTAAGCATTAGAATGTGGGGAAGTGACGCTGTCGGTTCTGGGCCTGAACCAAAAGAAGGCCTGGTAGCTTCTGCTCTTTCCCTTTGGGGAGCAATACAGCACCGTGTGAGAAAGTCTGGCTCCCCTGGCAGAGTGACCCCGCAATGAAGCCATGTGAAGAGAGAGCCCCTGAGACGACACGGAGGAGAGAGACCAGCTGCCCCAGGCTCCCAGCCATGCCCGCCAGGCTCCGGACATGTCAGTGAGCCCTCTTGGCTGGCCCAGCCCAGTTAAGCATCCAGCCGATGCCACGGGAGGTAGAAGGGCTCCCGACTAAGCCCTGGCAACACACTGAATCATGAAGAAAAGAAAATGGTAGCTGGTGTAATCCAGTAGGTTTTGGAGAGGTTTGTTGCATGGCAAGAAATAATGGAAACAGAACCCCTGGAGTTTGGTTAGCAACAGGTGGGAACTGGGATGTTCTGATCCTGGGGCACTCGGACATCAGTCCTCCTCATGGAAGGGTACCCTGTGGACAGGAAAATGACAGTGACCGGGTGACTGGTATGTGCCAGCCATCTCTCTCTTCTGTGTGAATGTCCTGACCAATTAGCCCTGCAGATCCAATGGACTCCAGCTGTGTTTACTCTGAGGCTTGTACCTGCTCCTCACTGTGCTTGGTGTTCTGGGAAATTGCCAGTAGAGGGTTGTCAAGATCACCTCATGTATTCCTGGAAAGTGAAATCCTTCCTCTGTGAGGCCTTTGCAAAAATAATTAATGGTAAAATCCTGTATCGAGTCTGAAGACCAAAGATAGAATATAGTCTCAGCAAGGAAGAGCCATTAATAAAAGAATGAATGGAGGGAGGGATGCAATGTTTGTGCATGACTGAGGCTTGCCAGAGTGAGCACACATCCTCACCCCTCGCTGGTGGGTGATCAGTTGACGATGCTTAGTTACTAGGAGGTGGAGGCAGAATTTGAACCCAGGTCAGTCTGACTCTGAAACATGTATTTTCAATTCAACAACTCAACCTTCTGCCGCGTCCTTCACAGGATCTGTTTCTGAGCAGGTGAGCTGTTTATTAAACCTTCTGCATTTCTAGGCCACTTTTTCCTAGGCGGTGCATTTCAAACAGTCCTCCGTGTCGTGTGATTCCTTTCGAGTAGCTCTTTGTTCTCAGGCAGAAAGTGGCTCCCTGAGACCCTCGGTTCCTGCCATCTCGATGCTGGTGCTAGCAGAAGGGACCAAGGAAACTTGCTGCCTCTCTTGTCACACCCAGAGGTGTCCTGTCCCATGTCAGAGAAATAGTCAAGGTCGTGACGCTCATCCACTGGATCTCGGCCAGTTGCTGGGCGGCTCCATCTGTATTCCACATCCCTGACTTTCTAAGCAGAGACTCAAGTACACGGACAACCCCGTGTCCAAAAGAACCTGCAGCCCTGACTGGGCAGTTCAGTTGGTTGGAGTGTCATCTCATGCACTAAAAGACTGCAAGTTCGATGCGTACGCAGGGCATGTACAGGAGGCAAACGATCAACGTTTCTCTTTCACGTCCATGCTTCCCTCTCTCCCCCATCCTCTCCCTCTATAATCAGTAAACACATCCGTAGGTGAAGGTTATAAATAAATAAATAACCTGCGGTTTTGGGGGCGCTAATGCTGCCTGTTTCCTGCAGATTCAATGGGTCTTGGCCTTTGTGTTTGGTCATTATTTATGTTGAAGTCTGTTTCTTTTGTCTCCCACCAGCCCGGGGCTTTGACTAAGCCCTTCAAAACACCTGCTTTGGCTTAGTCACAAGGGATCCCTGGGGGGCTTTGGCGCTGAGGTGGTCCTACAGTGTGCCGTCTAAGGAATCCTTGAAATTGCTGAAGGCTTGGTCCTGTGCGTCTGCAGCAGTGGTCTTTCCAGGCTGATGTAGAGCCATTACATATATATATGTATATATATATATATATATATATACAATCTGCTTCCTTTGCTAAGGGCTCCAAATCCCCAGTTAAATTAGGGAGAAGGGAGATCCTCCGTAAAGGTCACACACATACACATGGGAGTGACTGATTGTGACCCAGCAGAACCCAGTTGTCCCACGACCTCCTGGACATCAGAGGACTTTGTTCTTTGCTCCCTGGGGCTGGAGATGCAGTGGGCATTGTCCTGTCCACGTTGTCAAGAGGCCCCAGCTCCTGCCACTGACCTTGGACTAACTCGCTCCACTCACCAACTTCTCTGGTGCTCAGGATCCTCATAACCGACATGGAAGCCAGTGATGAGGCCAACATGGCCTTGGGCATGAAGAGGAAGAGGAGCACGTGCTGTCCTGTCCCGGGGGAATGGTGCCCCCCAGGGGCAGATCTGGAAGGGTAAGCAGTGAAGGGAGCGGAGGCTGCAGAGGAACTGGGGAGGCAGGTGCCACTCAGAAGCCGACCCAGAGGGGCCCCCACCCCAGGAGTGGAGAGCAGGCACTTCAGAGAAGACACATTTGAACCTGAAGAGAAAGAAAGCAAGGAGAGTGGTGCATCCCCGCATGACAATGGAGGGAAATTCTGAAGAAAACATAAATTAGGTTGCTGCTCTAGAAGGAGTGAGGATCTCTAGGAGGAGGGGAGGAGGAGAGAAAGGGGCTGGGAGCTGGGAGCCGGAGGGGAGAGAGGAGAGGAGACAGGGCTGAAGGAGGGAGCCAGGACAGGACCGCGGAGGCAGCTGACAGTGAGAACTGGGTAGTACACCACGGTGGGCTGCGACCAGCAGAGGACAATAGGAGGCCCATCCGGGTACTCCTGAAGAGTGCGGCTGCCATGATTCTGGGAGAGGACTCAGAGCAATTTCAGGTTCCAAAACAAAGGGCGGAATGAGACCCCGCCTCAGGCCCAGAGACCTGGGATTTCCTGATCGAAGGGAGGTGAGGCTGTGAGGTGCGGCACACTCAACCTGAGGGCTAAAAGCACACTCCGTGCTACAGATACATGGCTGACCGTGACTACAACCCAGAAAAAAAAAAAACAGAAAAATGTGTGAACATACATACTCCTCCCTCTGCAGAATCAACACGTGCG